TCAACTTGATGAGTTGGATCGACTTGATGACAGTGGCTTTGGTTTCTGGTTTCTTTACCTTTGCTGAAAATATAGCCATGTAGAGCATACAGAAGGCCAAGTTATGAAAACCCTCCTAGACATTACCAGACATCTTGAGGAAAAGATTTGCTGGGGCTGGGGGTTCAGGATTATAGTCTCAGGGGACACCAAGGTCAATTGACATAACATAGTCCAGAAAGACAATGTTCTGCCTTTTATTTTGGAGAATAGTGGCTGGGTTCTTATAAACTTCTGAGCAGCCATTTAAGGTTCAACTATTGGTCTCTCCCATCTAAAGGAGAGTGATCAAAAAATTAAAGATACATGGAACCAATTAGTCTAATGTTCTAATGGACCTTGTGAACGTCAGTCTCTGAGACTCTGAGACTCTGAGACCAAAAACCTAGATGATCTCTGGCTACTACCATCAACTGCTCTGAAAAGGATCACATTAGAAGGTCTTGGATAGAATGGGGAAAAAATCATAAAAACAAAAACAAAAACAAAAACAAAACCCCAAAAAAAACAGGCTTACTGGTGAGATAGAGAATGGTGGAACCCCAGAGACTATGACCTTTAGTTATCCTTCAAGTCTGGAACTGACGTTACCTCCATTGCTCAATTTTAGCCAGACAGTAGACAGATCTATCAAGGGAACAATACTATCATTGAGGTACACACATCTTAAAATAATCAACCATTTGAGATCAAAAGTGCAACATTTATCCAAGAATAAAGTTTAGAAGTATTAGGAGTGAAAGGAGAATGGAAACAAGAAATGCAGGGTGGCAGTGGGATAAAGGATACTACATTGTGGAGACTATAACAATGAGATGAAACAAAACATATATACTATTTGTTGAAAAATTGATCAGCTCTGCAAACCTTCATCTAATTCACAATGGTGATGGTGGTATTTGTGTGCCATGGAGTGGGTTCTGACTCATAGAGATTCTATATAAGGTTTCTGGGGCTGTAAATCTTTATGGAAGCAGAAAGCTTCATTTTACTCCTGGGAGCAGCTGGTAGAGATGAACTGTTAACCTTTCGGTTTGCAGTTCAGTTTGTAATCTACTATGCTGTGAGAAAGGAACTCTGGTAGTGTAGTGGTTACAAATCGGGCTGCGAACCACAAGGTCAGCAGTTCAAAACTACCAGCTATGTGGGAGAAAGACAAGGCTTTCTGCTCCTGTAAAAATTTACAGCCTCGGAAACCCTGGACAGGGTTGCTATGAGTTGGAACCGACTCCACGGCACATAACCACCACCACCATGCTGCCAGAGCTCCTTAATTCACAATGAAAACTTAACAACAACAACAAAAAAATTATAGCCTTGGGAACCTGTGGGGCAGTTGTATTCTGTCTTACAGCATCACTATAAGTTAGAATCAACTTGATAGCAAGAGGTTTGTTTTTTGTTTTGCTTTAGTACATTCCAAAGGAACCAGTTTAGTCCTAGAGACACCCTACCTAGAGAAAGTAATTGAGAAAGGTCTGGTCCAAAAATGTAAGAAGGGAGATATGGATATAGGAAAGAAGTATAAAAATTATGTAACAACTATACTTTTAACATTTCTTATCATTGGTTTGAAGAGAGAAACTGAATAGGCGTTTTTAATACTAAGAATAGACAAGAGTCAAGTCTAGATTTTAGACACAGAGAATAAAGCAGAGTTCCCATCCTGTTCTGTTTTAGAGAAACTCTTTTTTGATATTGTTTACTTTTTTAGGTGAGTACCCAGTATTACTTCAAAAAGCACCAGTGAAAATTATTGATACAAATACTTGTAATTCGAAAGAAGCATATAATGGTTTGATATGGGACACAATGATATGTGCTGGATACATGGAAGGAAACATTGATGCCTGCCAGGTAAGCTTAGACATTATTTACAATTGCCATGTTGTTGGTGGTGTTAAGTGCCTTCGAGTAGGTTCCAACCCATAGCGACCCTATACAGGGTTTCTGAGGCTATAAATCTTTATGTGAGCAGAAAGCCTCTTCTTTCTTCAGCGGAGCAGCTGGTAGTTTCAAACTGCTGAGCTTGCAGTTCACAGCCCAATTTGTAACCACTATGCTACCAGAGGATATACAATTGTTAGTATAGTCTTATGAACGTCATTAATTTGGAGACAATTCTAAGCTTCAATTACTTTGCACTGCACTTCAGCAATCCTGTCAAAGACCCTGTCAGCTTTTTCACTAAAATGACTCTCCACTACATACAGCATGTGTTTATAAGTTTTGACAAACACTTCTTTGGTACTTAGTCTGAGTCAATAGGCTCAAAAGTAACAACAATTGTGAGGATTGAGCAGGACTAGGTGGTACTTCATTTTGTTGTGGATAATTGTTTTTGTTGTTAAGTGCCGTCTAGTCAGTTCTGACCCATAGCAACCCTTTATAGGGTTTCCTAGGAACCGCTGGTGAGCTTGAACCACCGACCTTGCAGTTCAAACGGCTTTGCAGTTTGATGTATTAACCCACAGCTCCACACCAGGTTGTGGATAGTGTCGCTATATGTTGGAACTGACATGTTGGCACCTAACAACAACAACAACAACAACATAAATCAAGTATTGTCCCATAACCTTTAAAAATATTAATCAGTTTAATCTTCATCACAGATTTAGGATGTAAGTAATATTATCATTATTTTGTAGATGAGGTAACTGAGGCACAAGGCGGTTAAATGACTCACACAAGGTTACACAGCCAGTGAGTGGCAGAGCTCCCGTACAAAAACCAGGAAGTCTAGCAACATGGTTTCTTCTCTTAACCATATTTCAGAAAAAGATCAGTCTCAGAAACGTTTTTAATCACTTCAGTCCTACATTCTCCTTATTCTCATCATGCTCATGCCTTGGATTCTGACTAATTTTCTCAGATATGAAACTGTATATTCCATGTATATCCATATTATAGGTCTCAAAAAATTTTCTAATAGAAATTGGTAATTTATCAGTTCATGCCTTTTAAGCTTAAAATACATCCCAAAGATGTTTAGTGAATATATTCTGGCCAGTTATGATTAGTGTTAAGGGTAAAAAATGAATTTATACCTTCTCATGGTCTCTGTTGTTGTTAAGTGTTGTTGAATCAGTTCTGACTTATAGCAACCCTGTATAGGGTTTCTGAGGAGCAGCATGAATCACAAACTTCATCTGGGATTTCATTTAGTACAAGTAAACTATCTGAAAGTAAATTTTCATAATGATAATTATTCTTTGTTTTATTTAGGGTGATTCTGGAGGACCACTAGTTTATCCCAATTCTCGAAATATTTGGTACCTGGTTGGAATAGTGAGCTGGGGGACTGAATGTGGTCAAATCAATAAGCCAGGAGTCTATACACGAGTGACCTCCTACCGCAACTGGATTGCCTCCAAGACTGGCGTCTAAGAGAAAAACATCTTGTAACAACTATTATGGGTTATGGTTACCTGTTACTCTTAAGTCATATTAATATGCATTTTAAATCAGTATGAACAATGTCTGTTTTATTTAAAAAATGTGGTTCTGAGGGAGTTTATGTACTTTATTTTAAGCAGACCCTACAATGCACCTCATTTTTAGTCTAGAAAAGCAAAGAAGCGTTCCTTTCAAAAACAGACTTTTGACATAGGATTTGTTTTCTGTTTTATTAACTTGGATCATAGCTATCCTGACACAGTATAAAGTCTTGGCTATAGTCATTTGTTGTTGTTAAGTGTCGTCGAGTCGGTTCCGACCCATAGCGACCCTGTACAGGGTTTCTGAGGGTGTCATTTAGAGTTTCCAAAATTATGAAAGTATTTCTTTCTCCATGGAAAGTTAACAGGTGCCGCTCTGAGATGGGAGCCAAATGTCTTAGGTGCTTTGCATTGGAACATGTTGTATCTGCCTTCATGGCATTGCTTTTGTGGAAGATTATAGTTGTGACCTGAACCTAATCAGAATGTAGGCACTGAGTTATTGTCTCTTATTATCCAAAACTCTTGTAATTATTGTGAAATAATTTCACCATCAGCAAACTTAAGAAAAACAACTTATTTTAGATTTACAGAGGCAAAATATATTGATTTTTCAGTGTTGATACAATTTTCTGTATAAATTCTTTGTTGGTAACATGTAAAAAGAAGTAGCTATGAAACATTAAACTATGTATTATATTTTGATTAAAATGAATTTAAATATTATATCTATAAATTTTTATTATGAATTGAGTGATAGTTTGCATAGGAGAGCATCAGCTTTACATATTTACATCATATCATATTTCATTTCATTGCAATGATTTCAATGCCCTCCTCCATGCATCATCAAACAGCATTTGCTTCCAATCCCTCTTTTTTTTTTTTTTTGGATGTACATTGAAGCACTCAGGAATACAGAACCATTCAAACAACAAAAGGGTATATGTACCCTGCATGCTAGCACCTCCCTCCCTGTCTCCCCACCCCCCAGCACACAGCCCTTCTCCCTCCTTGAGTATAGAGTCCCCAGCCACTTCGTCTCCCAAAGTCATCATTTCTATCTCCATCTCTGGCATCGCTGCTTCTCTGGATAGGGTCCTGCACTCTGCTCTTCTCTCTTGGTGGTTCCAGGGTCCTTCACTGCTGGACTGCAAGATCAACCACTCCCTTCCTTTTGTTACAAAATGTCTATCTTTACATTTGCAACACTCACAATCAGTCCTGATAGCAATGATTCACTATTGAACCACAGAGTCTTATCCCCATCTCCTTCACCAGTCCAATCTAGACAGGTTGGAAACTACTCAGTGGAGATTCTACCTTCCACCGCACCCTCTGAAACTAAGCTCCCTCTTGAAAACTTGTAAGCCAGTCAGTTTGTGCCTTTGTTGCCCCCCAATTTTGGGTAGCCAATGTCTAAGTTGCCCATTCCTGTCAACCTGGTGTACCAAGGGTGTGGGAATGATCCTTCCTGTACAAATTCGTTCCCTCTTTTAAGAGATTACATCCATAAGCATAGGTCAAGTTCATCAACTTGTTGCAGATTACTCTTTTTTTCCTCTTCTTTCTTCCTCTAGTTAAGTTCTGATCATCCAGCCATTGAAGCTAGGTCAAATGAGTACTATCTGCAAGTATAGCTGTTCTTGTGCATCTCCCCTCACTTATCATCTGGCCGTTTCACTCTCTGTTCTAGTCCTCAGTGACTATGTCTCTCTCCATGGGCTCAGGAGTCCCTAGGTCTCATTGCTGGCCATCCAGGTCACGATCCAGGTACACAGGAGTCTATAGGATGTGGTTGGACTTAGCTCACAGATTCATTGCTGTTCCCCCCCCCCCACTTCCTGTTATGGGTAGACCAATGGGGTCACCAGCAAGATTACATGCCTGCTTGTGTTTCAGTTTGAGTTTCAGTCTTAGAAGGGGGTTTGCCCTGAGGGGACTTGATTGCTTGCCTTGATGGCTCCCTGGGGAGCAACTTGCTTGGTCTTGTAGTAGTCAATCAGACTGCTGTTATTGTTTTTCTGCTTGTCTTTCTTTCAAGAAGTATCTTCTGTTCCTCAAGTTGCTCCAGGCTGGTCTGCTTGTCTTTTCAAGTGGAAATTTCCCACCTGAGAAGATTCTGGATGGAGATCAGGACTCAACCTACCATCTTATGCAGTGCAAAGGCTCCACAGGAAGCCTTTTTCACTGGGCAAGTTCTAGCCCCATTTTAGGTATTCCAATCAGTTATAGGCTGAAGACAGGCTTACAACCTTTCTATAGTGATTTTTCTGGCTA